AATCTCGCGGTCATCATGGCTTCTGGGGAGTTCACGGTCAGTAGTGATGATCTGTTCTCTGGCTCCAAGTCCAACCGGGAAATACAGACTAACCATTTGTTTAAGGTGACCAGACGTCCTGCTTTTGGCGTGACAGTCCTGATTTTTAACAATTTGTCCCATGTCCTGTGGCATTTTTAAAAAGTCCCGATTTTTGGAAATAATGCATGATAAGCTAGGGAAGAGTGGGAGAATGGGAAGGGAATATATGGTTTTCAGCTGCTGAAAAGGTTAATGTAACTACATTTGGGAATGAAGAGGTTAATGTAACTTCATTTGGAAATGAAAAGGCTAATGTAAACTTCCTACCCTCTTCCTGGGCAAGGTCGCCCAGGTGGAATCATATCAGAAGGATACTGGCTCCCTCCCTTGCTTCTAGGCAAGGACAACTAGCTCAGAAGGAGCCAAACTGTCTGGAACAAACAAGTAGAGGATCCCTAACCATAAACAGCCCAGCCAATAGTCCCCCCCCATGGTGTCCTGCTTTACCAATGTTAAAATCTGGTCACCTTACATGTGTTGTGTGTCCTCTGTGGTGTTGGGAGGACACCTCTTGGAGGGAGTCACAGAGACAGAAGGGTGTGTACCACACCTTTGCACCTGCAGGATGTGCAGACTGGTTGGAGAAACTGTTACACTCAAGGACAGCATGAGAAATAATGGCCCTGATCAGGTGTGGGCATCACAGATCCTACCAAATGAGTGCTTGCTGTGTGCTGGGCTCTTTAAATTAAATGTGTTTGGACCCATTTCATAGGATGGGAGACTGAAGTTCATTAACTCCACTAGTGATAAAACTGGTGATTGGTGAAGAGGACATTCAAACCCAGGGAAGTCTGGCTCAGAGGTCACATCTCACTAAACCATACAAATGGAGCAAGAGCTGTGCTGTTGCATTCAGAGATGTTTCTGTGAGAGCTGATGGTGGGTCAGGGAGGAACGGAATGTGAAGTGAGCTTTGGTGAATGGATAGAATTGGAGAGAGGGAAGACATTCCCATTGATTTTGTGGACAGTATCCCTGCCTATCACATGATACCTGAGGCTCAATTCCCAACCAGGGATGTTTAAATGTGACTTAGAGGACCATGTGGCTTAGGATTTAAGAGAACCAAATGCAGAGCAAAACTGATCTAGCTCTATCACCTCCTAGCTCTGTTTCCTTGGGCATGGCACTCAACCTATCTGAGGTGAGCCCAGCTCTCTCATCTCAAATAAAT